CTCTTCCCTCTGCAGCCTCTTGGGACCCTTCAGCCTCCCTAGCAGAATGCCTTGCCCACAGTGGAATGAAGTACTTATTTTCTGATTAGTTATGTCTATTTATTATGTAACTTTCATCCAAGCCAGAGAAATCGGAATTATCAACTACTACAGGGAAGAAAAAGAAAGAAATGAGCTGAAATACAGGAATCTGATCCCAGCAAGAAACTGGGTCCCTCCAGAGCGCTGACAGCGCTAACACACGTTCACAGGAAGGGCAGGCTCGTGACATTTCCTCACTGACACTCAAAGCCGTGTTACGTCTTACAAATGGGAGGGGAGAGTTGCAGTAACTCAGGGGCGAGGTTTTGTGAAATACAGTCACTCATGGGCTGCAGAGGCCAAGTTAAATTCCCGCGCAGAGCTGCAGGAAGGCCCAGCAACACTCCTGAGCACCCTCAGGGGTCTCGTAGTAGAACAGAGAACACGCCTAGGCGGGTTGAAAGGAGGTCAAACTCGGTGCCGCCACCCAACAGGCCTTGCCTCCGTTTGGATGAGTCCCCGGCCCAGAACGCAGGCCTGCATCAAGACCCTCCCCTCCGCGACGCTGGGAGCCCCTCTCTCGGGTCCTTGCTCTCTCCCCTGTAAAGCGGGCGGGATTGCGCCTTCACAGTGCTGCTGTGGGGATTCGCTCTCGGGAGAACCCACCCGCAAAGCCTTGTAGAAACGGGGCTGTGATGAGATGGAGAGGAGATGCCAGGTGGCACGGGCCTCGCTGGCCACGCCCCCTTCGGGGAGAGGACCAGCCCCACCCCGGCCCCGCCCTCCTCCCCCGAGGAGATGCCTTCCCAGGCCCCCCCGCTCCTGAAGGAGCTGTCCTACTGGGTGGGTGCGGGTGGAGAGGGGGCGGACGTGAACAATAAGGACCTCGAGGTACTCTGGGAACAAGGCGCCCACCCGGTACTTACACAGACGCACCTGTGCCACCGCCCGCCCCGACTGTAACCAGTGCTGCGGGGTTCGGCGCGTGACGGGCTTTTTTGAATGTACCCTAAAATACTCTTGTCTTAAAGGAATTGAATGATGTGTCAAAAGAACTTGCTGCATCATCCAGGGTCTTCTTTGGAAAAACTTAAGAACTGATCTTAGATGGGCTGTAAACGGTCCCAAATCGATTCACTCTGGTGCCACATTATCCAGGGCCCCGGGGACCCTGAGGGGTCCAGGTGCAGGTTATGTCTGCCTCGAAGACTTGGGGGCACGGGCACCAACAGAGCGACGTCGTCTTATTGGCACTGCGAAGCGTGGCTGTAGACCGGCCGCAGCCACGCCCTGCGGAGGCCTGCGTCCCCGCGGGCTCTTCTTAGCCGCCCCCAGACGCCGCAACGCCAGCTGGGAATTCGCGGTAAAGGGGAGCCGTCAGGAGGCCACTTCCACGGCACCTCCGCGCCGAACACCGTCCTCCGCAGGAAATCAACCTCAGTCTTCAAACAAAGAGCTTCTCCCCTGCGGTTCGTTCTCTGAGCTACACGGTCAATCCCGCCCGGGCTTTCCTCCCTGAGGACGGGAGCTCCTGCCTCGCCGGGCCGGAGTGAAAGCTCGTTCCCGGGAAAAGCCCCGTGGGCCCTGCCGACAAGAGGGCGGCCACTCTTCACCCTCCCGGGCAGCCCGGGCTCTGCCCGCTGCAGGGAAGGCCGAAGGAAGGAGCAGGTGCCGCCCGGATCCATGATCCCCCAGCCCCTCCCCTCAGAGGCTTCCAGCGCATCCCGCGGCCGCCGCGGCCTTGCTTTGCCGAAGAGCGCCGCCCCGCGACCCGACAGAGAAGCGCAACAACGTGAGGCACGGGCCCAGCCCGTGCGACGGCGCTAACAGAGCTCCGGAGCGGCCCTCGCCTGAGGAGCCCGGAGTTTACTCGCAAGAGCAGCTTCGCGACCAAACCCTTGAAGCACAGCGAGGCAGGAGGCGCCGAGGGACGCGACCCAGCGACCCTCCTCCAGGTGTGCGCGCGTCTGGGCACACCGGACACCCACCTTGAGGGGCGCTCCCCGTGGCTCCGGTGCAGTCCTGCGGCGCCGCTCGGGCTGAGGCCGAGCTGTCCTTAGCGCCGACGGGCACACGGGGGGCAGCGGCCGGCTCCCCGCTCCCTCCTTCACCGAAAACCCCGCAGAGATCCGGAGACTGCGGTGGGGGGAGGGGACCACGGGCTCAGGCCGGGACGTTCTCCGCCCGCACGCAGCACGGCTGCCACACGGAGGCACCCAAGTCCCTCCTCCTGGCAGGGCCACCGACGCCCGGGTCAGGAAGGGGCTGGGGGCTGCCCGCACACGGTCGTCACGCCAACCTAATCGGGGCGGGACGGTACCCTCCACACGTCACCCACGAGAAAACGGTGTGGGGGGCTGAGCCCGTGAATAAACGTGACGGAGCCGGGGTCTAGCCTGTGTCCAGCGTCCGAGCCTGCGGCCTCTGCCCTCTGCGGCCGCGCTCCTGAGGCCGGCACGAGCTGACTCCCTCCCGGGCTCGCTCTCGAATGGCTTGGAGAGCTTTTGATGGAGAACAAATTTAGCTAATCTTCACTTCTTTCCTTTTCGCCAGCAATTTCCATCTGCTGAAGGTATTCGGCCAGCAGAGAAAATAAAAAGCGTCCGGGGGGCGCATGAGGCTGACTCGCTAACTTCAGGCACCTCTGGCCGCTTCTCAGTTGCTTGGCCTCCTCAGCCGTGACGGACGGTGCCCATCGGGTCGTGGACCCTCAGCCGCCGGCGCCTGTTACCCTGGCGACTCCCGCTGGCTAGACAGCTGGTGTGGCACAGCCCTCAGGACGCCTGCCCCTCGGAGTGAAGTTCTACATCAGCTCAACGGTGAAGAGCAGCAGACATGGGACATTGAGGAAAACAATGAGCTTCAGCCCTCTCTGCTGCGGCTGCCACCCGCGTGGACGCAGGGAGGCATCCGATCAAGGCAGGGGTTCTGCAGGAGCAGGGCAGACAGAGAAAACAGACCGGGCGGAGAGGAGGAAGCCCGTGCGCAGTGCCCAGCCCAGCACCGGCCAGGAGCGGCGTGGCCTCCCCGAGGGCGGGCAGGCACCAGCCACACCGCCCTAGCGCCCGGCACCCCAGCAAGGGCAGCGCTTGTCACGGGTGCCACGTTGCCGCCGTTTGCCCACAGGGAGCCGCGGGAAGGGCCTGCAAGCACACCAAAAGAATGCACGCCGCTCCCTGTGGGAGCACACGCTGGGGTCCTCGGACTACGGGGTTAGCACCCACACAGGCCTGCGCCCGATCTCACAGGAAGACAGCTCCCCCACCTCGAAGGCCAGACCAAGACCGGCGAGAGTCCTGGGCAGGACAGGAGATGGTCTTGGGGCAGAATGGACGGAAAGCTGACTGCGAAGTGACGGCCGAATGTGACTCTGAAGTCGCCAGCACCGGCATCTGGGGTGTGGGTGTCGAGCCTTCGCGGAGGATCTTGGTGTGCGGGCGCGGCCTGTGCGGTGCTGGGGCTGAGCCACAAACAGGCCCACAGCACAGACCCAAGGGTTCTGGGACACAACCGTGACAGTAACTCTCCTAGCTGCCCTCCGGACCGTGTACCGGCTAGAACCCCGACTCCACCGAGGCTCCTAGTGTCCTCGTGACCGAGGTGGTGGGAGGTGTCGTCCGAGCCCTTGCAGCATCGGGCTGGCGCCTGCTGGAGCATCTCCTTCTGAAACTGCAGACGCCCACGCAGGACCAGGCTGTGCACGTTCCAAGGCCCAGGTCAGACACAAAAGGCTCACATGCCCACACCTCCTCGCCGTGTGCCCACAGGCTTAAGGAGAGCTTCCTACGGCCGGCTGCCCCAAGTACGAGTTGTTTGATTTCTGCAAGATCCACTGACACCACCTAAAGGAGAAAGTTGTAGTGTTACAGCCTCAAGGGCAGCCCCCCGCACTGTCTCGGGGGGCAGGTCAAGCGCCGGGAAGGACCCATGGCCGTGAGGGTGGGTCTACACGGAGGAAGCAACTGGTAAGTGTGGCCAGGTGGTCAGGGGCCTGGAAACAACGAGACCAGAAGTCGAGGGCCAGAGGTATCAGAGTGGTTCGTGGGCGTGAGGAGCTGAGTGCACAGCATGCTGACGTCTGTCCCACGAGAGCGCCCACCGCTGGCGTCAGGTGACACGGTGACCTGTGGACATCAGTGACCCCCACCCCCCATCACCACGGCACAGAAGCCTTATCCGCTGGGTGGCTCTCCTGGCACCACTTCCAAGGCCTCAGCACGCGCTGTAGCCCCGTGAGCAGCCCCTGGAGGACATGGCGGAGACGGGGACGCCTGGGGCTGCTGTCCACCCGACAGGCACCCTCCTCTCTGAGCCACCAGGACACATGGTTGATGGAGGAAGCAGGTGAGGGGGGAGCATCCCTGTGACCCCCTCGGAGCCACGGCTTGTGGGGAGGCTAGGCCCCCAAGGCAGCCCTTACACAGGACTGAGGGCCCGCCCGCAGTGCTGGCCTTGTGTCAGGGAACCAAAGGACCGAGAGGGGCCGACTGTAATGGGGGTGACCCCCCCCCACGCCCCTGAGGACAGGGCTGCGGCCACAGGCGGGGACTTGGGGGCCCATGGGAAAGGATGCCCATTTCTAGGGATAAAAGTCAACAGAAAACTAGTTACCAAAACTAGGAAGATTTCTAGCGGGAAAGCCCTTTCAGGAATGAGGTTTGGGTCAACCTACCAGGTGAAGACCCACAACCAACAGAGGTGGGCAGCTGAGGGCAAAGGAACGCGATGAGCTGTAGAGCAGCAGCGTTTAACACAAGCTTCCGCCAGCCTAGTGGCCGCGGGGCTCTGCAGATCCTGCACTGGCTGGTGAGAGTACAGATCAGTCCATTTTCCCCCTTGCCCGTTCCAGCGCCAACACCAGGAGGGTTAGGAGCGGTTAAGCCTTCGAGCCCACACCCAGGAGGCCGTGACCGACCACAGGAGCACCTCTCCAGAGGTGGACACTCGACGTGGGCGTCTGGCATCACATGAGGCAGAAGCAGGTTTCACTGTCTTTACCCACAAGTTCACTTTACAAGGGGGTTGCAGGTACTGGGCTGGTGAAGCGACAGATGGAACACGGATGGCTGTTGTCACACGGCCCTACCTCCCCAACGGCGGCCTCCACGCTCATCTCTGACAGCTGAGAAGCCAGAACAGGCTGTGGGAAGTCCTTCCTGGGAGGCCAGACCTGCCAGCAAGGCTGGAGAAGGCTGTGCATCACGGCAGGTGGGTGCAGCCGAGCACACACAGACTGGGGTTGGGGGCAGCCCTGCAGGGGTTCCTGGAGAAACACAGCCTTGCTGCTGCCACCGAAGTGGACGACGAGCTTCCTGCAGTGGCCACCCAGGGCATCCTGCGAGGGCTGACCCGGCTCTTCTGGCTGCAGCCCTGGCCCTCACTCCTCCGCCCTCCTGGTTCCTGCACTAAACCCGCCAGACCTGGAAACCTGGGGACGTGCAGACCGTTAGGCGTGCTGCCCAGCGTCTTCCAGGAGCTGTTCCTCCCCAACCCTCTCCCTCGAGATCTGAATCATATCAACCTCACTCTCAGCTCCAGGGACAAGGGTGACCAGCCCAAGCCCTCCCTCTACGCCCCAGTGGCCGGTCCAGGAGTAGACGTCCACCTAGCCTGACTGGTGAGTGCAGGGCAGGGTCTTGGCCACAGCCATCGTTTCAAGATTAGGCCTGTGGCCAGTAAGATGAAGCCGCCCATTCCTGGGTGACAGCTGGGTGAGAAAAATCTCTCCTCTGGACAGTATGCATTGGGAGATGAGGCCCAAAACTGCTACGGCCAGTTCCCAGGGATTCAGCCTGAGGTTCACACCAACAACTTGGGAAAAGCAAGTCAGGAAACTGCAGAGCAATGGACCTTGTGCCCTGATCAAGCAGTACCTGGAATCCACCCTGCCTTTGGATTTTCAACTCACATGCTGTAAAGTCTATTCAGGTCGGGTTTTCTGATAGATCCCAAAGCATCCTGACTTATTAGACTACTTTACTCGTGGATTTCTTGGCTAAATGTATTAACATTTGTTTCTTCTCACTAAAAGTCCAAATTTTCAACAAGGCCACCTGTGTGAGATTGACAGCTTCATCCCACTTGTTCTTGTCTTGGCTGGTGTAAGCCGCCAGGTTCTCTGTGTACTGCAAGATGGACTTTAAGAACCTGTTTAAAAGAAAGAAATTAATTTCTTTATCTATGCCCTTGTAAAATGCAATGATGATTTAAATGTATCCCCTTCATTTTAAAATTACAACTAAAGTTCTGTAGTTAATTTTTGTCTGAGGATTCAAGAAAAAGAAATACATTCAAAACAGAAATGAGAGAACACAAATTGGATGAAGGAGAAGAACGCCGAACTAGAGTGTCACTGGAGGGGATGGACACCTAGACTCCACACAGCTCACATACCCTCCATCTTTCTCTACCAAATCCACATATGACGGATGCTCTTAGCTGATGGGACTCGGTTCCAGAAAGGACCTTAGAGGCCGTCTGGACCACACTCACGCGTAATAAACCCACAGGACACAGGACCTCGGGGGCTGTGCCTCCTGTTCCCACCCTGATGACCAGCCTCACCCGACGGAGAGAGGGGCCACCCCTTCAAAGGAGACACGTCCCACCTGGAGCAGCTATTGCAGGCTTTTCCTGAAAGATAATTCGTCAGAAAGTTCACAGGGGAATTACCTCTGACTGATGGGAAGAAGCGCTATTTTCACATTTTCCAAGTTCTCCTCAAAGGTTCCCAAGTAGCCTAAAATCTTCTCCAACTACGAATTTTTGAAATTTTCAAACTTAGGGAGAAGTTAAAAGAATAATACGATGAAAATCCACAGACCCTTTGTCTAGAGGCGTAGCTTTCACTTAGGGTGATTTTTGCCCCCAGAGGACTGTGGCAACATCTGAGCCATTTTTAGTCATCACAACTGGGGGCTACTGGCATCTAGTGGGTGGAGGGCACCACCCTACAGTACCTGGGGCAGCCCCGCGGCAGAGACAGTCCACGGTTTTGAGCCGTGACCTGGCCCCAGGCATCTGCACAGCTGCCTGAGACGGTGGCACCCTCTCCAGCTTCCTCCCGATAACACTGTCTGGACATTATTCTTACACCAGAGGGAGGAATTCCTAAATCATTCACATGTAAATCACATTAAATTTTCTGAAACATGTCAGTTTTAAAGGCTCACAAATTTGCACTTAAGTCCACAGAGAAGAACAGTTCAGGACCAGACTGTGGGGTTGAAAAAATCACCAAGAAAATAACCAACAGGAGTGAACATGATTCAGAATTAGCAAAACACAGCTGCGTCTCCTGTACGTGAGGGCACTGACCTTAGATACTGCTGATATTCCGAAGTATTTTTCCCAAGAACCACATGAATGTTGACCAATTCCAGTGCAATCAGCAATAAAATCAGATAAAGCATAGGAGACAGAAGCTTAATACTAAAAATAAAGTAAAAGTTAATAAACGTAAGTATGTATCACCTTTATAAGGAGAAAAATGTTTCACCTAACCAATCCTTCTTTCAAAAGTCCTTAAATCCAAACTTCTCAAAAGAACACTCTTATGTGGACAGCCGTTATCCCAGTGGCCGTGAGCCCCGGCCCCTGCAGGCTGTGCGGGATGCCCCCCAACCTTGGGCCTGAGCTCCTCGCCTGGTTCTGAGCCCGCAGGCGCCCTGCCTGCTCTGAGGACCAGGCTCCACCGGCTCGGCACCCGGTCCCTTTGCCCAGTGGCAGCTCCTTCCTTACAAGTCAGCGTTCAGCAAAGGACTCTCCCAAGAGGAGAAACACAAATGGCTTAAACATGAGAATGGGTTCAACGTCTCTGGGACCAAATTCCAGTTAAAGTCAGACTCCAGTCTTCCCGGGAGGAATTTTTAAATATGTCCTGTTTTGGGGAAGGATGTGTGATGTAACAGCATCATCTCATAAACTGCCGGTAAGGGTGTATATATGTAGGTATGTAACCTTCCGAAAGCAAAGGAATACTTACTAAAAGCTTTATAAACACAGATACCATTCAACCCAGAAATTCTAGGAATTTGTCCAAAATGGTAATTTCATGAGGATGTAGCACATTCTAAAATACACAATGCTGGCATCCCCAGGTAAATCTGCTGTCGTATTTTAAATCCGGGACCATAGAACCCATATCCCAAAATTATAAATTGTATTTTTAAGTGACACGTATGTAACTTCTCCTGAAAATAAGTATTTCTCTGAAGTCAGGGGTAGAAGTGTACCCTGAGGTAAGAGCTGCCCAGCAGGGCTCCTCTAAACGAGACCTGCGAGCCGCGCACCTGTGAACCAGGCGCAGGTAGTTCCGCCGCTGCCGGGAGCGCAGGCTCCTGTCCTCCCACTGCCGGCGCCTCAGCTCCGCGCAGGCGGCCACCTGGTCACACACGCGGTGGCAGTGGGCGCCGATCTTCCGGAGCACGGCCAGCACCTCCAGGACGGCTCTGGGGCAGAACAGGGTCCGGACAGGGATGCTGCAGAGCTCACGGAGCAGCTGGGGCCACCTGCAGAGCAGAGCGAGAGTCCCGAGGGCCTATGGTCACCAGTCCTCCGTGGCCTGCACACCTGCCGCGGCCTCCAACGCGGTCTCGGTTTCCTGCTGCAATCGTTACACTGGGCGGGTGTCGATGGTGAGAACAGATCGTGTGTTGTAACGTCCGTCAGACAGACCAACGCACGCACCATCAGGGCTTATCTAATAATTCCTCCTGGGACACAGTAGGATTCTAACACTACCTTCAACGTGTAAGACTTCAAACACAGAAAACTGCAAGGTCGGCGACCCCAATATACTTCACCCAGGATACCCTGAACTTACTTCTCAGGCGGAAGGTGCTCCGAGTCGTGAGGAACGCGGTGGGTCTCGGGCACGTGGTGACACAGCTCAGCCACGATTTCTGTGATTAAAGAGTGGCAGGCATTTATTTCAGAATTACCTTCTGATCTGAAAAACAGAAAACATGTAAAGATACATGACAATGAGCAAGATGCCTAATTAGTGCCAGTGCAGAATAATATTTATTTCAGTGGTTCACTGAGCAAAGCACTCAATCTGCAACTCGCTTTCCCCAAAAATAAAATGAAAAAGCCACCATCAGAGGGAGAGGTAAAAAGAAATGACACAACACACTGTGGGCGATGCACCTGCTGTCAGAAGATGCCCTGTGACCCTCAAGAGTCCTCCCTCAAGCTGACTCTGCAGTGTGTCCACGCCCACTCCTCTCCTGAGCTTCAGACCCGCTGTCACACCGTCCACTAGGCATTTCTGCCAGATGCCACCCTCCTCCCCACAAGGCCTGCCTCTCGTCCCTGTGCCCTTGGTCTCTGCAAACGGTTTCCCCATGACCGGGCCCTGAACCCCCAGTCTTGGCCCTCCAGTCACTAAGACCTAGCAACTCCTCCTTGGGATCTGTCTCCCAACAGGCTTGCCAGAGAAAAAAAAATCGTTCATAGGCTGACATTCTCGGACCCTCGCGAGGCCTGCATGACTTGGGGGGCACTCACCGCTGAGCCTCCCTTTCGGATCCTTCAGGCAAAGGCAGCAGAGGCCAAACTCCGATGCTCCTCTCACAGCTCAGCACCTGACAGGACAATGTACAACTGCTTTTCAAGATTTTTAAATAATGTTCTAGAAAATATGTTTTTAAGTTGTTACAGATGTTGTCATCACTTCCAAGAAAAGACGTATCTGTAAAATTGTTACAGATGCCACACTTTAAAACTAGGTGATGGGTCTGTTACTCGATCAAATCAGGTAAAGGAAGGCAGGTGAAATATGGGATTCCAAGGAAGTGTCCAAAATTCTTCTGATGCCTCCTGATGAGAGTTGGTCCGTGTCCCCGCCCCTGGTTGGGGCCAGCCGTGGCGAATACCTGTGGCCTTGAGAACACAGGGAGAAGCAGGTTGGAGACGGGCCCCTCCCCTCGTCCCCACCTCTGCTCGGGTGCAGCTTGCCGAGCACCCAGCACAGACTTCCACTTCTCAGATGGGTTCCTGTCTGGCAGAGCCCGTCCCAAATTTATGACCCACAAAAGCACAAGCAAATTAAGTGGTTGTTGATGCCACCAAACGAGGTACTTTGTTACGCAGCTGATATCCCGAGCAGCGGACTTAGAAAGAACAGGATGCAAGACTGGCTGAAGAATAAAAGGTGACTAAATCACAGGCGGCAGGAGTCGAGGCCACGGAAAAGGTGAAGGTGCAGAACGCCCACTGTGGGGAAAGGAAGGGGCGTTGACCAGAGACCTGGAAGCAGCAGCCAAGGAGCAGGAAGGCTGGCTCCCCGAAGCTTCTCTTCTTTCCAGAACCTTCCCTCCTTTGCTGAAGCCTCCCTCCCTGAACGCTTCTGGGTCCTCCTTCTAACGGCTTTTGTTCTGGAAGCTCGGAATCACGATGGGCAGACAGTGCGATGCGAGTGGATAAAGGTACCAGAGCAGCCCGACGCGCCATTGCAAACAGGACCCGCTGACACAGGAACTCAGGCTGATTCCTTCCCGCAAACAGCAAGGACAGAGCGCCGCTGGGTTCTGCTCCTGCACAGCTGCTGATAACCCCCTCCTACCTGATGCTACTCAGGACCTGTCTTCTCCAGGCTCGGCTTCTCCCTGGCGCCACTGCAAATCTCCCCAATCCATTCTGTGCTGATTTTACAGCTTCCTTTTAGAATTTCTCAGTTAGCAACTATCATGATTATTATATTCTTGGAGACGACCCCATTTTTGCCCCCTCGTACCGCCTACCATACAGAAAATAAAGTCTCTAGGCTACTCGCCAAATTGTAACTTCCTGGTAGAAATGCTTAAGAAAGTTTGTTGCCTGCTTGTTTACTTTACAGGTTAACAAAGGCTGACCTCATAAAGCTGGCGTCCCTCACCACCGAAAAGCAACACCTGTGACCAATCCCGGGTTAACAGCACTCAGCCACCCATCAAGTACCAAGAACGCCGAGGACACAAACCCCACCACAACCCTAACTGCTGGACCTTAGAAAGACACAGTGGCTTGGCCAAGGCCGTGTGTCCAAGATGAACGCAGGCTACAAAGCCAGCTCTGTGGACTTGCAGCCCGGCTGGACAAGGCCGGCCTGTACCTCTCAAATCTCGGCAACAACTGACCTGCACACGCCCCTCCCCACACACCTGCTTTTTAAGCTGAGAAACTGGATGGCAGCGAGCGCCGTAGGCTTCTGCAACGCTCACCAGTGCTCTCACTGCTGCCTTTTCCTGCTTTAGAGAAAACAGACAATTGTTACTACAACTTCTGGTCAGGCTCCTACTTTTCTTCTATTGCATCTTAGGTCATTTAAGAGTCCCAATTTCCAATCAGCTTCCTTCACATAATTCTCTCAGCTAAAAGAAAGCAAAACTCTTCATTAAAATAGGTCTAACAAGGCTTCCCTGGTGGCGCAGTGGTTGAGAGTCCGCCTGATGATGCAGGGGACATGGGTTTGTGCCCGGGTCCAGGAAGATCCCGCGTGCCGTGGAGCGGCTGGGCCCGCGAGCCATGGCCACTGAGCCTGTGCGTCCAGAGCTTGTGCTCCACAATGGGAGAGGCCGCAACAGTGAGAGGCCCGCGTACCGCAAAAAAAAAAAAGGTCTAACATAGTAGTCAAACCATAACCAACAAAATTTTTAAATGAGGCTGATTAACAATGATAAATTACAAAGGCCACTCTGTTCACAATGCAGCAAAACAAGAAATAAATGGGGGAAAAAAAGATGCCAAACAATTGGAAAATGTAAGAGATTCTCCTAAAAAACTAGGACGTAAGAATTTAAACATTAAAAATCAATGTAACTAAAAGAGGATTACATACTATAAACACTCAATTGCCAAACATACATTTTTAAAAGAGTAAATATAACATTATTTACAGCTGACGCATCTGTATAACTGGAAAACCCAAGGTGGCGGACTATTACCAAGTCAGTGAGCTGAGAGTGGACAAATTTAATACACAAAAGTCAAGAGCTTTCCTACGTATAAGCAGTAACTACCCAGAACTCTCAATAGCACAAAACAACTCATATAGTTAGTCGTTACTTGGAGAAGAGATGCACTCAACTTTCACTCGCGCAGATACCTACACGGGTGCTACACGGAGCAGAGAGAAGCCAGCCCTCGCTGTGTGGTGAACGTCCGGCGGGGTCGCCAGGACTCACACCTGAAGTCAGTGACGAGCCGGCAGCCACCACAGCACACACGGCTTCTCCCCTGAGACAGGAACCTCAGGAGGGCCTCAGAGCACAGTGGGGACACATGGGGGCCACACCCCTCCCAGGGGCTCAGGGGAGCAGTGGGGGTGGCAGAGGAGGGGGGATGCAGATCTGGGGCACCAGCTTGAGGTAGAGGATTGAACGTGGAGAGTGAAGAGTGGGGACTGGCCTGTGTCAGGGAACAATGTTCAATCTTGCAAAAATGTCAATTATCCCCACATTAATCCATCAGAAGCCCATTCCTGTGGGCTGGTTGGTTGGGCTTGGGCTTTGTGTTTAACTACACAGGTTCACTGGAATAATAACAATTAGAGAAGAGGCAGGACAATTCTGAAGAAGAAGAGGGGCGGGAAAGTAATCTCTCAGATATCAAACTGTACCATGAAGCTTAGTAAAGACAGGCAAAGAGAGTCCAGGTCTGGAGTCCAGTGCACACAGTATAGAGATATTTATTCTCTAAATGGCGTTTGGTCAACTTGCAAGCAATTTGTTAAAAAAAGAAAAAAAGTACAGCTAGATTCTCTAACTCACTCCCAGCTGAAATAAATTCCAGCTGGATCAACAGATGTAAATCAATAGATGTAAATGTAAATCAATAGATGTAAAAAAAATCAATAGATGTAAATGATGTAAATTTACATCAATAGATGTAAATGATCAATAGATGTAAATGATTTACATCAACAGATGTAAATCAACAGATGTAAATGATCAACAGATGTAAAATGTAAATCAATAGATGTAAATCAATAGATGTACAAAGCTATAAAACTATACAGGAAAACATATGAATACATTTATAATTTTGGAAAGCAAAGGGTCTTTTAAGAACGACTTCAAATGCATAAGTCAGAGAGAAAAAACATCAAAACCTAAAGACCGGTAACAAGCAACACATACTCTGAAAATGGCAAATAAGGCTAATAAACCAGTGAGGAAAATGAAACTGAATAAAACAGAGCAAAGATGTTAACAGGAAGTTCACAAAAGAATTTCAGCATCATAGTTAGACATTTTCCACAGCAGAGAAAATTCTAAATCACCCATCAATGAAGGACAGCTTAGACAAATAATGACACATTGATAAGATGGGGTATCAAGCAGCTGAGACAGAGTAAGGTAGAACAAAGTTGCCAAAAATAAACTGTTAATGAAATGCTAGTTATAAAACAGAGTATGTCCTGCTTTGGAACCCGCACTGCAGGCTCATGGAAAGATGTGGAAGCAGAGACACTCAGCTACTGACAGCAGTCACCTCTGGGAGAAGGGATTCCTGAGAACTTTCACTTTTTGTATTAATTTTTCTACCCTGTTGGAATTTTGAAACAAATTTTACCATAATTGTTACATGTACAGTCTGAAAAAAAGATTAAAATATAACTAACAATCTAACCTATTTCTTTTAAAATATAAAAGAATTACAGTTTATTGACAAATGCAAATATTCTACTCTCTCATTTAATATTAATAGTCCTCTGTAAATTTTTCCAATTTATTTAGTTAATCCTGTTTTATACTTTGTTCTCTGGTTTGCAATATCCCATCACTGTTAAAAACACAAGCAAATGTATGCTTAGGAAATAGGTTGAATTATTTTAGGTGAGATCAAGTAATATTGATTTATTTGTTATAGACAATGCCTGTACACATGTACACATGTTCAGATGGAGGCACACTGTGCTCATATAAATTAAAAGATGATTAAAATATAATTACATTTGAAAATAAACTACATTCCTTCATAACTTAATGACCGTGAATTTAATTAATCTTCTTTCCTACACATTACCTTAAACACTGACAATAGATCTTCGTCAATAAATCTGAGTAAAAGTACAAAGGAAAATGCAAGCAACTGATTGGCTGCTTCTTTCGGAAATTCAGGTAAACTGATTTCCCCGTGGCTTAAACGATCTCTTAGACGGGGACCTTCCTGATGGTTCAGGAAATCCCAGAGAAATTCCTATCAAAAAAAGGACACAGAAAATATTTGGTTAGTATTCTCAGCAGAAAGAAGGAAAGTCCGAAGGCCCAGAAAGGGCAAGCCCAAAACATCTGAGGAGCAGCAATATTCATTACAGAAAAGTTAGCCTGAAAAAGAAAGTCATTCAAGGTCACGCAACAGAAAAGTATCAAGTTACGATAGTCCCTGGATCTCTTGGCTTTATCACTGCACTCGACTACCTCAGGCAGGACTGCACCCCACTAGCTCAGCATGTCCCTGAGGAAATCCCGTCCTCTGTAACTGCACTCCACAGCCTCAGGCAGGACTCCCCTGAGGGCGCCCTGCTGTCTGTAACTGCACCCCACCCCTCAGGCAGGACTCCCCTGAGAGCGCCCTGCTGTCTCTAACTGTACAGCCTGCTCCTCAGGTAGGACAACCTGGGGAACCCTGTTTCTGTATCTGCTCCTTGGCTGATTGATAAGAACCTAAGAAGTTTGTAGAACTCGCCACCAGGGCTGCAAAACTGCTTGCGTGGCTCCAGTGCTTAGTAAAAGTACCCTTTCTCATTCTCACCCTCGTGAAAAACGAGAACTGGGTTGACCACATTTGGAAGCCAACTTTCCAATCAATAAAAGAATCCACTGCTGTGCTCCTGCACGGACAACACCATTTTTCTTTCCCCTCATGGCTCTCCTTACATGTCCTTTCTCACATCACTCGTTTACTTCTGAAGCCCTATGAAGACACTGCTTCTTTCTTAATGGCAAAAATCCAAGGACTCTTCCACAACATAGAGGAAAATAAGTCAGAAAACCCAATTTGCTGACCCAGGCAAATTGCTGATGGACAAACAGAATTAGACAAACTACTTCAATCATCCTAATTTCCTGATGGCAGAAAGGACGCCCAGAGAGTGTATGGAATCTGACTAGTGTCACACAGCCGGAACTGGAACCTAGGTTGCTAACTCCCAGTTAAAAGGAGAAAATATGAAAATTCTATTTACAGTCCAAAGTAGTCACTGCAATAACTTCATAAAATACAAAACTGTGATAAATAGAAAATGGCTCTAAATAACTACCTTCTCTAATCCAACACTCTGTCTTACTAGTCGCATCTGACTTTGCTGTCATTCACGAAGCAAATGCAGTCCCTGCTACCAGCGCAATACAAAACCCACAAATTCTAATATTGCTCAGAATCAGGTCAGCTAAGTCATCAGGCCTTAGGAGAAGGACATTTAAACAAAAACATGAAGCACAGTACCTGAGCTGGGCTCAGAGCCAGCAAATGACAGTTGCACAGACAATGAAGTTCAGACATGGGAATGCTTCAGAAGCATTTTTTATGGGCACGTCACAAGCCAAAATTAACATCATTTTTGAGAAGTGCTAATCACATCCATAAATACAAGGATGTTAGATCGTAAATGCCTAATACTTTACCATTGCAGGCTCTCCAAGGAAAAGAGGAAGTTGATTGATTTTACCATCATTCAAGTGTTTTGCCAATATCTAAAACACCAAAAAGAAGTAAGTTGATTAACTGGTACATATACAGAACTTTCAGTGTCAAAAGATATTGTACATTTGGTATGACATGCTGTGTAAGTCCAAAGCAGATTAAATGAAATAAGGACAGTCTTAAGAACATAGCAACCACCTGTTCAGAAAAGGTTTTCTCAACCAATACAATGACTTTAGGAAGATATATGTATGTATTCTTAATTGTGTGTATGTGTTTATGTATATTTACATGTATATAGGTGTGTTTATGTGTATTCATGTATATATGTGTGTGTGCATTTATGTGCATATGTGTATTTGTGTGTTTATGTGTAGTGTGTGTATACAGGTATACGTGTATACTGTGTTTATGTGTATTTGCAAACACTGTGTATGTGTACATGTATATACATGTGTATATATGTATATATGTATGTTATGGCCTTTCCATAACTTTAGAAGCTAGGTTAATAAGACTGGGTCTCAACTAGTCTGAAAACTATATTCAACACTATCATCACCTTTTTCTTTTTGCTTATATGACTATCAACATTTTCCTGTAAGCATATGATTTATGGCTGATCTTTAATTTTAAAAGAATACAATGTTTTATTTGTTTCAAAATACCTTATAAGTTTACTCACCTCATCAAAGGTAGTATAAAGAGCTGTTGACTTCAGAAAAGGAAATAAAAGAAATAATTAAAGCAAAATACAAGTAGTGTGACACTATTCAAAGCAGGAAAAAATTCTAGCACAGGGCCACAAACATGAAACCTTCTTTTTTGTAAATAAATCTTTATCTAGCAACACTTTGGGAAGAATGTCATTGACAACATAAACACAATATAAAAGACATGAAAATACAGCAACCCTGGCAGTCTAGCCATGTTAGAATACTGCTCTAACAAGTACTGTAGCTCAGATACTTCTTTTTTTTTTTTTTTTTCTTTTCTGTTGAGAAATGTTTTTTTATTGTTCATGGACTACTGATCACAGACAGAAAGCATCTGGCTTATTTGTGACTTCAATCATTAGCTCTCCATTTTAGGTTAATGCCAATATTTGAGAATCAGGCCTGAGTGAAAGCAGTAATAAATACTAGACAGAAATGAACAAAAAAAGTCAGAAGTATCATAGTCCAGATTTCCAGAGGTCTGATCTAAATCAGCATATCTCAGTTAACAGGTCTTTATGATCTTATAGATTTGAATTTAAAGTGTGTAATTGGGTTTAAGGACTTGATAAGAAAATAGCATTTTTATTTTGCAAATTAAGGGTAAAATGGCTGTTCAATTTCTTCATACAAACTGGGCTTTTAAAGCATACATTTGACTAGCATACTTAAATATTTTACCCTCCAAGCATTTTTTCCCGCTTTTTTTGTTTTTTTTTAACATCTTTCAGATGCCTCTAACACTTATGATGCCACAACTTCACAAATCACTACTCACACAGAGCACTTCTACTGATGGCTGGTATTTGTGTGCAAGTGAGCACAACTGAATATTTTCTCCAACAAATAGCCTTTGTTTTTCATGCTTCTTGGTATAATTAGCCCAGACTTTATAGACACGGCTCGGGGCCAGGCTGCCTCAGCACTCTAATCCCAGCTCCACACCTTCTACAAGTGAGACCCTGAGCACCTCCATGCTCAGCTTTCTCTGCAGAAGTGTAAGTGAGGAATGCCCATCTCAAAGGCTTCTGGGGAATTCAGTAGGATTTTACACACAGGTGCTCAAGAAATGTGTTATACTTATTAATGCTTATTAACATATTTTCATTTTAATATTATCAAATACTCCTGAACATTTATTACTGTGCAGATGACTCTAAAGCCCATGTATTGCTGACCCTAAAATTTTTTCCAAGCTCTATTCTAAATATTCAATTGCCTACTAAATATCCCCACTACTTCCTCAAAAAAGCTGAACTTTTCATTCATCTCCATAAACGATGTGAATTAACTTGTACCTTTTTTTTTTCTGCGACGCTGTGCAGCTTGCGGGATCTTAGTTCCCTGACCAGGGATCAAAGCTGGGCCATGGCAGAGAAATTGCGTAGTCCTAACCACTGGACTGCCAGGGAATGCCCAACTTCTACCTTATTTTATGGAGTTGGTATAAATGTCTTATCTCTCACCCCTAATACACACAAGCTTCTAAAAGTCACTAGGTCTTTGCTCATCTTCATATCCTGCATTGATTCTGAAGAGACCTTATGCCATAACAAGTATTCAATAAATAATTACGGCATTTGCACAGCACTTTATAATTTTCATGTACGTATTGCTTTGTAAATAAATTGATGCTATGTTTATTCTGGATAAAAGCCTGGGCTAAAATTTAAGATATTCTTCGATAAACTACATCCTCTGTAGAAACAGTCACACTATTTATTTGTGCAGTGAAATGACAACTAAATAACCAAATTCATGGCACCACAGAGCCATGCAGTGACTGGTCATGTTACCATGAAGTCAACTGTAAGAGCACTTGAGTGAGAGCTGTGACAACTGGGGCTCTAGTTTCTGCTGGAAGACCCAGGCTTCACTCCACAACACTGGACTGGGCAGAGCCTACATCAAAGGCACCGGGTGTGGGCACCAGCGGACATATATGGATGACCCACTCCAAAGGGGCCTACACCAGAGAGCTCTACAAAAATGCACATAAGGCAAAGCAGAACTGCCTCAAGATAAGACAGAAAGAGAACGCAGAGAAAAGCAGCTGTTAGATCCGAGTAGATGTGGCTCTGGGAGGTCACCACTGTGGCCGGGAGTGGTCAGGCAGGGGACAGTGGGCAAAGTGAGAGGAAAGGCACGCATGTTCAGGAACTGGCGAGGAGCTTAAATTATGCTGGGAATCAGAGGGAAAACAAACTGGAGAAAGGCTGAGGCCAGAGTCTGACATCCTTACAAGCCATGCAGAAGCGTGAGCCTTGCAGGCAGGCGCTGGGAGCCATGGAAGGTTTCTAAGCAGAGGAAACCATAAAAGACACAGGAATACTCGTGAGTTTAGAAAATAATTAGTGGCAGTGTGAGAATGGATTAGAGAAGGAGAATCATGAAGACTTGTGGAAGATGAGTTACCAGGTGAGCATGATGGGGAGCCAGGTGAGGCCTCAGCACTGAAGGACCACAAGACAAATCAGGGGTAGAACTGATCGGCAGGGCAAGTCCATGAGGAGAATGGAGTGCAGGCAGAGCATAAGATGGTGCTAAAGCTTGGTGCAGAGCAATTCAGAGAATAAGGATAATAAGGAATACCAGAGAACAAATTTGTGGAAGAAAAAATTTGCTTTTCTGAAATAAAATAAATTTGAGATGCTGGGGAAAACTCATATGAAGATATTCAACAAACAGGTGTAAACCTAACTCAGGAGATCAAAGAACCGTGAATTAGAGACAATGCCTTGGAGACTGCTGGAACTTAATGCTATAAATTGCCCTCTTGGCACTGCTTTAGCTGCATCAACAACTTCTGCCATGTTGTGCTTTCATTTTTATTAGTTTCAAAGTATTTACTAATTGGTGTTGCTCCCACACAGGTAACAGCTTAAGGCATGGTATTATGTGAGGTCTCCCAAGGAATAAATATAAAGAGAGTACAGGGTTGAGAACAGAATTCTGAGGAACGCCTATATAAAGGGGCACAAAGAGGAAGCTGAACTAGTGAAAGCAACAAGAATCCCAAGTATGGTAGATGCTGCTGTTTGTCCCATAATATATATTCTTCCTTTCCCCTACCTAATGGATTCTCCCATAGCTAACTAGGCCCGTGGCCACCCAGAGACATTGCTAAGCCTCCCTGGCAGTTTTGGCCAAAAGGAAGCAGTATCCTTCGAGAAGGGCATGCTGTAGACCACCCACGGCCCACCTCATGGGGTTACAATAGTACACCAGTAAATATGGCTACAGAGAAAACATAAGCATCAACGCATTTTATGACACCATTAGGTTTAAAAGACTACTTGGAAATATGACAGAACCCTCAAAGACAATCACAAATAAAATAAATATATAACATATACAATCACAATAGGAAGCCACAAAAAATGACAGTCAAGCCTTCCAAAGAAAGTTCTTAGCTAAAAAATTCATTTAAAATAAGCAAAAATATGATATTAAAAGCTTTTAATTAGGCACGGAAAAATGTCAATACAGCAACAACAGTCACCATCAACCATTTAAAGCAGTGTACCTCAGCAGTCAGAAGTCTCTTTGGACATTTGTTAACTGTGGCAAAAACTTTCCTAAGTCCAGTCTCTAGTTGCACCAATAACAATATCGCACAGTCAGCAAACCTGTGAAATTGAAGGAAATAAGCAAAACTTCATGTTTTCAAAGTAAACACTGGCACCAACACCATAATAAGGGTGCTGTATTCCAGATACTACCAATATGTGTCCAAAGCAAGGAGGAGTGACATTACTCACTAATATGATAAACAAAACCAGAATCAAAGTCTCATTAGACTAGTGACTGTAAAACTATTTTCCCGTGTCTTAATGTATGATGAAACACTTTTAGCAGCTGCAGTAGAATAAAGTGTCATCAAAGATCTGCTAAACTTGTTTCTTCACTTCTAAAAAATACTCAGAAACCAGGATTTCAGTGGGTTCTCAAGGTATCCAATCAAATGTACATATCAGGATAAGGTAACTTGAAAGGAAGTAAAGACCACTGACCTCCTGATGCTTCCACTCCTGGGCTTGCTCCCCAGGGAACATAGAGACAAACTGTCATCTTCTTTCTCTCATGATTCTCTAACATTGGACACTATGTTTCAGTCACAGTAAGAACTCAAAAAACTATTAATAAGTTGATTCTGAAAACTGATCATCAGGGAGCTCCCTGGGGGCCTAGTGGCCAGGGTTCCGGGCTTTCACTGCTTGCTGTGGCTCGGGTTCAATCCCTGATGGTGGAACTGAGATCCCACAAGCTGCACAATGCAGCCCAAAATTTTTTTTTAATTTTTAAATAAATTCATTAGTTAAATAAAAAATAACTGTCTTTATTAATTGTACAAAAACAGTACAAAAAATAATGCTTAAAACACAGTTACAAGATGCCTTTTAGTTAATTATATGAAGATATTCTATGCTTGGGTCTGCTCTTGAGTCAGTCCCGCTCCTACCTGCTCCAACTCCAATAGCGACAAAGCAGAAAGGTTAGGGTTTTTAGAAGGCCTGGCCTCCAAGCTGCCAATGACCACTATGTAATGCCACACTTCAGGTACCTTTGAGACTTGAAGTTGAGTAATGCAACTTCCCAATATGGCAACATGATTTTTAGTATAAAAGTGGATTTCTTCATCACTTCTTCTAATACTGAAAGTACCTCATAAGTAACATCTGTAAAAATAGCAAATATTTTTAAGCACAACCACACTAATCAACTGAAAAACAAGGTGTAAACACACTTAGGGAGTGATGCCACTGAGCCGAACTCTTCAGGAAAATAAGCCGTGGGCCCTGGGCAGCGTGCCACCTAAGTGTGAGACCACCTGAACTAGCGCCAGGGTTGCAGGTGACCACAGGCACCCTTGGAAAAAGGGAATGTGGGCAATTACATCTCTTTAAGCTACAACAACTTTGAGTAGAGGGGTTCAGGGTCAACAAGCTGACCACACTGACCAAGAAAATTAAAAATATCTTCAGAAGATACAGGAATCAAGTGTGAACCCAAAGGTAAACTATGGACTTAAGGTGATTATGACTTGTCAATGTAGGTTTATCCTTGGTAAAAAATGTACCCTCTGGTGGGAGATGTTGATAATGGGGGAGGCTGTGCGGGGGGGCGGGGGGGTGTGGATGGGAAATCTCCGCACCTCCCTCTTGATGTTGCTGTAAACTCAGAAGTGCTCTACAAAAATAAAGTCTTAAAGAATATATACATTGGGCTTCCCTGGTGGCGCAGTGGTTGAGAGTCCGCCTGCCGATGCAGGCGACACAGGTTTGTGCCCCGGTCCGGGAAGATCCCACATGCCGCGGAGCGGCTGGGCCTGCGTGTCCGGAGCCTGTGCTCCGCAATGGGAGAGGCCACAACAGTGAGAGGCCCGCGTACCGCAAAAAAAAAAAAAAAAAAAAAAAAAAGAGTATATACATTATTGGCAGTCACCTGACTACCAGAAGGATCCATGATACAAAAAGGCTAAGGCTGCTGGGACCAAGATGATCTGTACTGTTCCCTCCAGGATTAACATCAGCAAATACAGACACAACACTTCAGCCAAAGTGGAAAAGAATGAGCCTGGAGCAAACACATGGTTTAACTGCTCTTTCAAAGTCCTGTGTCCCCCAACCCCACTAATTTGGTAAATGGCTTTCTCATGAAAAGAAAACAAAAGATGATATAGGAGAACATTTATGCTAGTGGTACTTTTGGCCTAAGGATTATGAGTACAAAGACACGAGAGCTAAAAGGAGAAGGGAAAGTGCGTTACAAACTGGTCCAAAGCCATTTGTATGCCAACATATCTGCACGATGAACTAACTTTATCATTAACGTTGAGTCACGTAGCCATGGCCCTCAGATAACCCTGGGGGCACTGTGGGAAGAGGTAAGGGTTGATGTGGCCAAATTTAAGAGGTTCTTCATGAAACTTTCAAAGGCATCTTGCCCCTGGAGAATAACTATTCCACCTACAGAGTTCAAGTCTCAATGCTATTTAATAACTCTATAAATATCTTTACAGAGATATATTCAGGAAAAATGTGGCATGTGGTACTTACCAGGGAAAACGATCAAATCCTCTAAGCTTGTAAGAGTTATGAAAGGTCGATGTGCCAATGTGAACTTAGTTTGTTGAAGGTAACCCTTTAGTAGTTGACCCAATCCTGCTGTCAACAATATCATCATTGAACAGTATCTAGTGGAAAATACCATAGAGATCCATTAGAAAAATGAACTCAGCACACATATAAAAAGCTCTACTTTCAAAAACAAAAAGTTTAAAATTAAGAAAATAAAACAGCATTAAATTGCAGGAAACTCCACGGGCTGTGGGGATGGAGCTGTGCAGTGGTCGGGAGGACCAGTGACATCTCAGAAACCTGTGAGCTTGAACCTCGGGTCTTCCACGCACCAGGGCGCTGTGCCCGTCACCACCTGAGCTTCTGGGGCGCAAGTCAGTGAAATCATAACCCTATCACGCCAGTCATTCTGCCACTAACATTCAGTTTTATCTTCAAAATCTTGTCCCCAAACTCTCATTCTTCTCAAAATACATCTTTCCTTGATGTGAAATTCAAAATAAAACAAACTCTTAAGTATATCAAAAAAGAAAGAGAATCCCTCCCCCAGCATCTTACTTTGGAGGAATCTCCTGAGGTGCCGCGAAGCCGTGCCACAGAACGTTGCGAAGGTTGAGTCCACACGGAGAGCCCACGAAGACCTTGAGCACGTCCATCTAGGTAGTGAGGGGGCAGATCACCGGGTCACTGAGTAAACCAATACAACACTGGGATTATGTGAGCTCTCTTCTTGGAATTAATGGAACCAACGGTATATAGTAATGATAACAATAATAATAGACCAACACTGGCTGAGCATTCAACATGTCAGACACATTTTGTGTTTATTTGTTACTCACTAACCCTCAGGACAACCTCTGAGGAAAGTACTATTATTCCCACTATGCAGAAGAGAAAAATGTAAGCAAGGAGAGGTGAGACCAAGGTTTCAGAGGCCACAAAGCCACAAAGAGGGATGAGATGCCACCCAGGCTACACTGCTTTCATACCATACATCAACATGGCCAGTATCTAGATAAAACAAAACAGAAAGTGATAAACAGAAACTCCACAGTAAGCAGTGTGTGCTCGTGATAAAATACAGAGGGCAGTGACGAAGAGCCAGACCACAGAGGCTCCAGCCTCTTCTCTGACTTGAAGCTCACTGTTCACCTGCTCTGTCCCTCCATCTACAAAGCAAAGGCCCTCCCAATACAAGGACCCTGCTTATCAAACTGCAATAACTATACCTTTCCATGAGCTACCTCTGGGTCTGGAGCACCACACCTTAGAGGAGATTCAGAAAAACGGAAGCCGTTCAGAGACTAAAAGAACCCAACCCCACGTCACATGAAAGAAGAGCTGAGCCTCCAGGAGACTCAGGAGAGGACTGAAGCTGTCTTCATACAACTTAAAGACTCGCTGGGAAGAGGAAACAGATGCATTCTGGATTTCCCTCAAAGGGCAGGAAGTTTATAAAGAGGGGTTTCAACTCAATGTCAAAAAGCTTGACAGCCGGTCCTTCGATGCTATTCTGGGAAGTCTTGGCTCTCACACTAATTTTAAATACTTTACTATTACCTTAATTAAATGTTAATGACTATAATATTAAGAATTTAATATTGTTTTAAATTTAGTATTATTTTAAATTAATTGTTCATACCATCTGGGCAATCAGAAATATATATGCGAATCAACTAGGAAAATTATCTGGGAGCTAAAAGGGCTGCAGGTAGGCAAAAGGCTCACTGCACAACACAGGCAGAAAATAAAGAGCAGAAGAAAACGACAGAACTTAAGAATTCAGCGTGACACCAAGCAGTCTGTATTTCCCTCCACACTCTCCACCAAAGAAAACAATCCTTAAGCTGACAAGGGGTAAGGAACCACCACCATAAGAGTGGGAAAGCTCTACTGACAACGGATTTCTTAATGTCTTGTTTGTAGTGTCCTCCTGGTTTGGCACTACGCTGGCTTCCCCCTTCACCTCAGCCCGGCCTTATTCAATTGCCTGAAGGTTATTCACTGGTCTTAAACGATCTTGATCATGTGGCCTCTAGAAGATTTGAAAACATACATAGCTCTGCATGTTTTTAAATTGGCATCTAAATTTTTTTTCCACGGTAAGTTTGAACAGCTGCAAAAGGTGTAATTTCTCGGATGTTAAAAATATTGATCTTTTTAATAATAAAACTATAATATCACTCTTTAAAGGGTTAAAACTTTATTCTAGAATAAGTATTACAATCTATAACTTGCAGAATTAGCATTATAATTAATACATAATCAGTGGATCAAAAGACTTCAAATTGCTCATTTGCCTGGCCCCCCAGAGGTTATTATATCAGAGGCTATCCCACCAGAGGTCATCACATCAAAGGTTACTACTACACCTGAGGCTCTTAGACCTGAGGCCCTCACACCAGCAGTCATCACACCAGAGGCTATTATCAAACCACATTAACACTCAGGACAAGAGGGAGGTGTGTCTTTTGGCTGGAAAGGGGATGTGGGAAAGGAAAATATGCTTGAATCACTGAAATTAATTTTTTCCTAACAGAGCATCAATTTTTTTTTTTTTTTTTTTGCGGTACGTGGGCCTCTCACTGCTGTGGCCTCTCCCTTTGCGGAGCACAGGCTCCGGACGCGCAGGCTCAGCGGCCATGGCTCACGGGCCCAGCTGCTCCGCGGCACGTGGGATCTTCCCGGACCGGGGCACGAATCCGTGTCCCCTGCATCGGCAGGTGGACTGCCAACCACTGCGCCACCAGGGAAGCCCAGAGCATCAATTTTTGAAGAACAGAAGTACAGCTAACATCGACTGTTTTGCGCTGTGTCTACTCCATCAGGTTTAGGCAAACAAGCTTACCACAGACTGCCCAAAGACTTGAGAGAGCTCCTCAGATGCAATCAGATCTCTTAAAAGAAAGGGGCATTCCTTCCTAATCAGTAAATACACCTAAAATTCAAACAAATATTGTGTAACAATCGTATTATGAGTCAGATGATGTTAACAAAAAAATCGCCCATAAAGCAAGTGTCTGTACAAATGAGAGGACAAAAGTACCGAAGACACCGACGTTTTTGATCTCATAATCATTCAGAAAGAAAAATATTTTAAAAATCTGTGCTAAGTGATTGTATAGGAAAACAATACTTAAAATCAAGAAATCTGAGCTAAACTGCAAAACAGGTTAATGTTCTTTCTGATACTTTACTGGACCAACAACGAAAGAGTCCTCACACTTACGTCAGCCAGGGCTCGCTCCAGACATGATGTCAGCTTCATTAAGCTAAGAGAAATAGCAAGAGATTGAAGACTTCCCAAGGCATCAAACATTTCAGGAAATAACTGTTTAGAATAAGACATATGTTAGAATTCGTGTTCAATAAGTATTATTTCTCAGAGGCACAGTTCTATTAATGAAGTTCAAACCTCTGATGATTTCAATTGGCATATTTTAATGACTTTTTTGGTATAGGTGAACATTTTCTATATAACAATATCCAAAGAATCAGAGAGATGTTTAACTCGTTAGACGTTCAATATCTAAGGAGTTTTTGGAAAGTTCTTTATTTATTTAAATGTTTATTAAAAGCAATAAATCTGGCATAACTATAAATTGAAAGGTCAAATATTTTGACCTAATCTTATTTCCCATTTTGATTAGTTCTTAAAAATAGGTAAACATAAGGCAGCTCACCCTGCCACTTAAGGGAGCTACTACACAGGGAAAAGGGAACACCCTTCCACCCTCCATTAGGAAATCCAAAGTATTTTAGAATTAGACTCTTTTATAGTTACTGCTCTACTGTAATAATTTAATGTTCCAAGTGAAATGGTTGGTTTGAACCAACCACCAAACCAACCATCAAGCCATCCAAAACAAGGTTTGGGCCCCAAGCTATTCCTCCTCCCTTCTATTCGCCCTCAACAAGCCAAGCATCCCCACCTCCGGTCTCCCAGTCCCACCGTCTCAAGAACACCTTACTACCAGTCTGTACAGTCTTTCTTTTTTTCTGGAGCTGTCCATTTTTCTCTGTCCCAGAACCAGCACCCATGCACCAACCTACGTCCCTAAACCCCAATCCTGACACTGCATCCAAAAACTTCCTTTGGTCAAAGGATGTCTCAGCTCAGGCTCTGCGGGCTTTGCCAACAGCTCCAACTTTGCCTTGCAACACTCAAGCCTTCTTACAGCTGAGGGCCCAGAGGATGGAGGAGACCCCTTTAAAATCAGCAAGTAATAAGGGCCTCTAAGTGGAATCTGAAGTCTTTTATTTCTAAAGGTTGTTCAAAAGCCGAACCTCTGGAACACCTGTCCACTGGAACCCCGATGAATATCGCGTTTCAAATTGCCCCTTGGTCAGAGACGACAAATGTAAGTGGACAGCCTGGCACACAGGGCCCAGCAGCCTCACGCTTCCCCGGTAATCCAGACCCTGGGCTTCAAGGATAAGAAAGCAAGTTAGTACCACAGCTCCACATCGTGTGATGCAAAGGCCTAAATCATCAAAGAAAAAGGGCTTTAATTATGAAATTTCCATAAAGTTGGCAACCAGTTTATAATTGGACTTACAATAAAGATACTCATGTTGTTGAAAATAAGTTACATAGTGTTTATCTGCTTATAAAAGAAAAACTCTCATTAGCGAGTTTGAAAAATAAAGGTTCAAATATTTTTTCATTTTTTTAATCTCTTTATCTGTATATAAGTTTGTACAAAATCAGCTTCATGTTGTTATATATAATATTTTAACCTGACTTTTTAATGTAACATTATTAGACTATGAGATTTCCAGTGACACTATTAATAATTATTATTATTATTTTGGAACGTATTTAGAATATGAATTTTTGGTTTTGTTTTTTTGATAAGTTTTGGTTGAACATTCACATGGTTCACGACCAAAAAATATAAAGCGGTGAAAGTCTCCCTCCTGCCACCAGTTCTCCTTCCTATAGCAGCTACTGTTATAAATTCCTTGGGTGTACTTAGAAATATTTATACATACACAAGCAAATAATACATGTATGTGCTCCTCCTATTTTTTCACTCAGCCATACAGCTCAGAGAGATTTCTGGATCAGAAAGATGGGCCTCCTCACTCTTTTTCACCACTGCATAATATTCCCTTGCATGCATTTTTTTTTTTTCCCATAATTTATTTAATCAATCCACTACCGCTTGACATTTGGCTATTTCCAATGTTTTTTCTTTCTTTCTTTCTTTCTTTTCTATTACAAAATGCTGCAGTAACTTGGCACAAACACACGTTCATACCTGTGACTGGGCCTGTCTTGTACGTTCCTGGATGGAATTGCTGGGCCACAGCACATTCCCTTATAATTTTTACAATTATTATTATTTTTCCCATCCCACATCCCTACTTCAAAAGACATACAAGAATGCCTGGAAGACATTTAAAATAATTGTATATATCACTGGTCATTCTACACCCTTAATTCATATGACTTCTATCTTCTTCCCTCTTCCACCTGGATCACAGGCCGTAAGCTGAAAGCCCCTCAGCCCTCACTGCCTCCCGACCCCTTCCTTCTCACACCTGGTTTTCAGAGCCCAGCTTTCCCTTAACTTTCCTATGCTTCTCTGCCTCATTCCCTCTTGCCACATCGATTCCTTTTCTCTTTCAAATTAAGGCTGTACTGTAACATCTCCTAACCCAAAAAGCAATGAGCAGAGAGGGAAATTTTACAGGTCAAGACATTTTAAATGCAACAGTATTGACGGGCATTTGGGCTTCAGAGAAAGTACAAACCTGATTCTGTATAAACCACACAGTCTGTAATTGTCGTCCAGCATACTTCACCATTTTGAGTTACAATACTACTGATATCGCAATTTTCTCTGGCTTCAAACCCAAGTTTACAAATCATATCATACACTGAAGGAGAAAGACACGTGGTAATAGGATCCTCTATTAATATCTGAAATATAAAACATAAAACACTGTTTAACATGTTTAACTGTTTAACATGAAGTAAAAATTAATTTTAGTATATATTTAAGTCACATGAAAATTCTATTCTGTCTATTCTGAGTATAGAATATACTCAGGTATAGCTACTGCGTTAACACACTTTCCAAATGTCATGAGAACTATATGATTAAAACATTGTGATTAAATGTTAACTAAGATTACTTATGCAAATATTTCCAAGTAAATGCTTAAAGATTTTTAATTACTTTATTAATCATAGTATTTAAGAATTTACAGAAGCTCAGTATATTTTATGGATAGTGCCTTATTCCTTTCAGCATTCTTTTGCTATCCCAAAGTTATCAAAATAAGCATTTTTTAATGAGGGGTGGGAAAACAGAAAATCAAGCATAATGAGTTAAAAGAGAAGCAAAATCCACAACTCTGCCTCCCTATATGGTGTAAAAAGCAGAAAACCACACTGCTTTTCCATGAAGGATGAAATAAAACCAAATTTTCATAATTTTCCCGACATTACACGAAGCTCATCTTATAAACCTGCAAAGAGATCACATTCTAGGTCTAAAACTGACCTGGGGTCTTTATGTGATGTATCAAGTTCAGGGGTCTCTGTGTTCTAACATCAGTAAGTTCTGGCAGCTCCCTGATTTGTAAGCCAGCCAGCTTAAGTTCCTCCATCCCGGTCAGCATCACCCTGTTATCCTGTCCGCTATTCCTGTCCCCAAAGGCTTCACTTCCCCCTCTCAGGCCTGACTGTCAACCAATCCTTTCAGGCCCTAGCAGGTGAGGTGCTGCCCGAGAGACTTGTGTGGAATATTCAGTGGTCCTGTGGGACACCTGCTCAGCCAGTCGGTGCACACCCCTAGGAGCACTGCGGGACGGCAGGGGAGAGGGGACTTGCTCCCGCTGCCTGCAGCCTGGGGCTTCCTGTGCGCTTCCTATTCCTTTGAGCACTGCCCTGCAGCAGCAGCTGAACTCAGTCTGCAGTCTTCCCGACACCTGTAGGCCCAGCTTTACCACCGAATGCCCACCACAGACAACACCATGCGTCAGTGCCTTCCCTTCAGAACTCTGCTTCCCAGACTTGCCAGGCCCTTACACGTAGCTGGGCAGCACAGTTTCCTCCTTAGACCCCCGAGTTTCAGCCAGGCAGGGGCCCTCCTCTAAGTTTCTAAGCTCTAAAATTCCGACCACTTCCCTTAGCTCCCTCAGTCCTAGGGGGAGTGACTGCTTCCCGCAGCTGCCGTGTCCACAATACTACTTGCAGAGATCTCTTTTTATCCTTTCAGATAACTAGTTAACAATTTTTACCTAGTTAACTCTTTATACCAAATTATCTTAGTGCAAAAACTAGTGTGGTTTGTCTCTGGACTAACACAGAAATATAACTCTAAAAGGTCATATTCACATCAGAAGGGACTCCTTGCATTTTTAAAAAGGATTCGAACTCTAAAGGAATGAGCTGTAGTTCTGGAGCGACAGGTGACAGGCATAAATGATATTTCTGCACAAAAGCCCATCTACTCCACTAGCAGAGTGGGCCCTGGATTTGGCACCTGAAGTTGTAAAAAGGGTCTCTTTTGGTTGTAGGCACTGGATCGACACAGTTGTCCCTCACACTCAACCAAACAGTAAGATCTTAGAGCACAGAGACCACGCCTTATACAATGCTGTAACCCCAGGACACAGCATAGACCCTGGCACACAATAAATGAAAAATAAGAGTTACATGAATGATTGGCTCCTCCTACCCTGAGCTGCAATACACCCCTCCAAGTCTCCAAGACCTTCAGATCTGAGCAATGGCTATATTCTACCCCTACCAACACACATACAATTCTACAAGTTGGCTTCTAGGTTAACTTTTAAGCCCATACTCTGTTAGACAATAAAATCCAACCTCAAATCAACAAACATTAGATGCTGCAATGCTCTGATTGTCACTCATGACAATAAATACATCATCCTGTGTATTACACTCAGGAACATGCCTGTCCCCCCCTAGAAGCCAGAAACCCTGCATGCTTATGTACACATGTGTGCACCTCCCACGCCCTTGTTGATACTTCAGTGTCTTGTCCAGAGCAGCATGGGGTAGTGCAAACGGCCTGTGCTTGACAGCTAGAATGATCTGAGTTTGAATCCTTTCTCAGACTCTTTACCGCTTGCCTTGAAAACGTTACTTAACATACCCGAGGCTTTTAACTGTAAAGCGGTGCAAAATATTATCACCTTCTCTGGTTGCAGTAATTAGAGATAATACTTGAAAAGCACCTAGCACATAGTACTCAGAAAGTAGCAGAGTGCTAAAACTGCTGACAGATGACTGACACTGAACTCCCTGAGGCAGGAATGTAAGTAAAATCCTTATTTTGAGGCAACCCCACTGAATCCGATCTCCGGTCAGTTAATGAGACCCTTGTGATTTAGTTTTACGTTATCAAAGTGGCCTCAAAATGTCCAATGTAATTCTGACTTGCAAATGTGAGCCAGAGGCGAGTATTCCTACACAAACTTCCCACACTGCTCAGGGTACCACCTAGCGAAAACTTCCCTTAGGGGCGAAAGCCAGTCAGAACAAAAACTATAACCAACGGCGCGTTGTGCGTGCACGACCCGGCCCCGGTGAACAGCTTCGGGCCGTGGCTGTCGCGGCCACAGAGCCTCCACACGCACGCAAGGCGTCCCCTCGGCCCCCACACCACGTCCTCGCGGACTGCAGCCGGGACCTCGAGCCCCAGGAACGACGTGGGGTCGGGCGGCGCCAAGAAGCAGGAGGGCGGGGCGGGACGGATCCAGCAGGCGCCACCCCGCGCAGGCACGGCCGCCCTCCGCCGCGGCACCGGCTGCGGCCCGGACGGCGCTTCCCGCGCCGCACCCCGAAGGGCGCGCTCAGGAGAACAGGCGACTGCAACTCTACCTCCATGACTTACGGCTCCCGTCCACGGCGCCGAGGGATGACGCAAGCCACGCCATGTCACGTCACGCCATGCCACGTCACGTCACGTCACGGCCCTCCCTGCGGCGCACTTCCGGCTTCCGCGGCGCAGGCGCGAGCGAAACCCTGTCGCGGAAATCGTCCGCGAGAGCCTGCGCGATGGAGAAGCGGGGCTGGGGTGGGAAACCGCCGTCGGCCGCGGCGTTTCAGCAGCCTCCGATGACGCCTCGGAAAGAGAGGAGGCCTAGCATGTTCGAGAAGGAGGCAGTGAGTGAGGAGACTCGGGACGAGGGCCAGCCCCTAGGCTGCAGAGCTCCGGCTTTTGTGGCGTAGACCCTAGACCACCGCGCTAACTGACTGAAACAGCTTCTTCAGTTCTCTTCAGATTTGTTCAGCTCAGGTTTCCTAAGAGGCGCTTTCCCCAGAAATACGTAATTTTAGTGTGTTTAGTGCCACCACACAAACCGCAGCTTTACCAGCCAGAAGTAGGTGTATGTGTGCTGTGCTTCAAAATAATAATAATAATAATAATAATATTTGGATTGGATATACCAAGCAGAACAATGAGATGTTTTGACTTTTTGTAAACAGCAGCAGCCTCACTATTTGAAGAACGTACGAGAAAGTTAAATTGAAAATAATTCTGTTCATTAACTTACTGTCTGAAATTAATGCACAATGACATTCAGTTTTATTGGTGGTGTAACACCATGGTTTCTGTATGAGCATAGTGTGAAAACCATTACAGTACAAAACTGTAATCATAGAGCTGGGACTTCTGGTCCACTTGCCTATAATTGTTTCTTTTCATACCTACTTCATGGGACCCATAATCAACAGGATGAAGGAGAGATAATAGGCAAAACACTTTTTTTTTTTTTTTTGCGGTACGCGGGCCTCTCACTGCTGTGGCCTCTCCAGTTGCGGAGCACAGGCTCCGGACGCGCAGGCTCAGCGGCCATGGCTCACGGGCCCAGCCGCTCCGCGGCATGTGGGATCCTCCCGGACCGGGGCACGAACCCGTGTCCCCTGCATCGGCAGGCGGACTCTCAACCACTGCGCCACCAGGGAAGCCCAAAACACTAATTTTTGAAGATCCTTATTTCAAATAACAGAATCCTTCCCAACCCCCCTCCCCCCAAAAAGTCATGGCAACATTTCAGTTTCTAACGGCTGCTCTTTGGTGTCTACATTTTACAGAGGAAAGAGAAACAAAAGGAGGAAAAATAAATAGGGCAGGTTCTCAGAACCAAGCAAAAGCACAGCAAGGCTAGAAACCTTAATATATTGGATTTTAAATTCATGCTCCCAGAAACTTTGTTGTATTGCCTCGTAATAAGTCTGAGAAAAAGATAGGTTGCCTGCAGTAATGAAAAATATTTGTATTTTGAGGTGCCTTTTATAAACTTACTGTCTACTGAAGATCTGAAGTCTTGAAAAGTGAGGAAGTCTGAATCCAAAAGGAGGGGACGACAGATAGGTTCACTTGGTATATAGGCCAGGATCTGGGGAAAGGGGGAATGGACCAAGGCAGTTCTTGCTTATTTGCTATGAATGTGATTAACCATAGCAGCCTTTAAAATCTGGGCTTCTACAGGTAAGAAATTTGAATTGGGAAGAGACTGAGAAGAGATTTCACAAATGCTCACTAAATGTGCCTGAGGGCAGTGAGTCACTAATTAGTCATTCCTAACTTTCAGGTAGCCGATTATTCTCATGATCCTGATTAGGACACACAATTTAATGGTTATAAATGTCTTGATTTTCTCTCTCGTGCATCCATTTATTTTCTTCTACTAGTAGCAACTCAATTTTCCTTTGGAGAATTAACTAATTCCCTATTGGATAGAGTTTTGGTGGGACTGTCAGTCACCTTCCTTAACTTTGTGGTGAGGATGAGACCAAAACTAGGCTGATTAGATGAACTCTTCCTGTAATAATTAAAGAAAATGGTTGAGATTAATTTAAATTGAAGGAGGCATACTGAACTGCGTCAAGTGTCAGACTCTTTAGGCTTCTCTTCCATTCTGTGAGCTACTCCATATCTGTCCAATTAGTTATGTATATGGTTAACAAGATTCCGTGCTTATTGCTTGCAACCAAAGATTCCAAAACCATAAACAAATTACCGAAAATTGAAAACTTGGTTAGTCTCGCTTGTCTACGTACATTTGAAAATCTTTAATACTAGCAAACAGGTTTTAGAAATACATTAATGTAATGGCATCTCATGACCATGCTCTTTTTTTTCTAGGATTGTAGGCTCAACATAAGGAAATGCCATATCAATAGGTTAAATAATTAAACTCAGATTGTTTTAGTAGATACCAAAAAGTTCTTCATATTTAAAGCCTATTTCTAAGTTTTGGAAGTGACTACAAAGATTTTTCCTTAATTAAGAGATAAAATACTCTTAATAAAGAGAATACTAAATCAGAAAGCCAATATATATATGGAAGAAATGGCAGAGATGTGAGTTTTCAGCATGTTAGAATCTCTGATTGTTATTTTTAAACCACAAATGCATGCCCTATCCCCAATGGATTCATTGCAGTTGAGAGCCACTATTAATGATATAATATAGTTGTATCCCTTGGGTGTATTGTGAGAGGAAAAGAAGATGGCAGTACCCTGGAGAAGCATCCTCTTAATCAAAAAGAACAAAATAAAGATTTCATTTCTAAGAGGTTTGGGGAGCTATAATGCTTCTCTTCCGCGACTAAAACATGAAGCAGTCTGACAGATGATTAAAACAGCGGGTTTATTTCTGATTAAGGACTTCGGCTAGAAGCCAACTCCTACCAGAAACTACAGAAAATGACACAAAATGTATGAAGTGTTTATTTCCACCGGCTGGATGGAAGGCAAGACAGGATTGTGATCTTTGAGAGATGACAAACAAGAAAGGTGAGCCCCAAGATTTCCCCTAATGTACTGCCTGGTGAGGGCTTCCAGCCCATACCTTATGGAGATGTCTCCCTTCGTTGAGAATGATTTGGGAGTCAGGGTAGGTCAGGGTGATATAAGAGCAGAGTATTAGAGAGGAGAGAGCTGTACAAACAGTTCCCAAGATCTGCAGAGGATTTTCCTCAGGTCTTCAGCTTAGTACATCAGCGCATCTGGTGAGGAAGTCAGGTGTGGCTAGAGAAAGAACCACCCAAAAGAAACAGAAAAAAATCCTTGGACTCACACAAAATAGTTTTTTTTTTTTTTCCCACCAGTAAGAATGGAAAACCATGTAAATCATAGGGCATTGGTTAGAGTGCTAAGAAGTGTATTGTCTCAGTATTGGGGGAAAAAGACCCTAGACTTAGGGTTTTCTCTAGTTCAGCCTATCAAAGCTTAAATTGGATTTTAAATTGCCTCGTAATAAGTCTGAGAAGGATTACAATGTTTCCAAGTTACTGCATTCTAGAAGAAAGCTCAAGAATGCATGTGGGAATACAAAAATATACAGCAAAAATGGAGGGTAAAATTCACAATATCTGGTATTTAATTAGCATACCTTCAAAGAAGTAGAATAGTACAACTCAAAATGGAGAGAAGAAACAAAACACCCAGAAATGATAAAAAGATAGAAATAGTATAAAAGGACACTAAAGCGGTTATTATAAAAGTTACTGTATTATATTAGTTTTCATCACATTAAAGCAGTTATAAAATACTGATATTATAAAAGAGTTAATATGTTCTGTTCAAGAATGAGGAGAGGGGCTTCCCTGGTGGTCCAGTGGTTAAGACTCCATGCTCCCAATGCAGGGGGCCCGGGTTCGATCCCTGATCGGGAAACTAGATCCCACATGCCACAACTAAGGATCCTGCATGCTGTAACTAAGGATTCTGCATGCCTCATTGAAGATCCTGCATGTGGCAACAAAGATCCCGCCTGCTGCAGCTAAGACTTGGGCACAGCCAAATAAATATTTTTTTAAAAAATCAGAAAAGATTAAGCGTGGTAAATCCAAATCAAACCTCTACAGGTGAAAAATATAAAGTTGGAAATGTAAAATAAACAGTGGAATTAACAGCAGATTTGACACTGCAGAGCAGGCTTAGTGAATTTAGAGACAGCAATAGAAAATCTGACATGAGCTATGGGAAAATTTCAGGCAAAACTTTTATTGTCTTTGGAGTCTCCAAGTGAGGAGAGGGGACAAACTGACCAAAACTCGAGAGAAAACTCAAATAAATAAAATCAGAAATTAAAGAGAAGAAGTTAAAATTGATACCACAGAAATACAAAAGATCATAAGAGATCACTATGCCAACTAGTTGGACAGCCTAGAAGAAATGGATAAACTACTAGAAACATACAACCTTCCAAGACTTGAGTCATGAAGAAAGAAAAAATCTGAATTGACTGATTACTAGTGAGGAGATTGAATCAGTAATCAAAAACCTACCTAAAACAAAAGTCCAGGATCAGATGGCCTCACTGGTGGATTCTACCAAATATTAAAATAAGAATTAATACCAATCCTTCTCAAACTCTTCCAAAAAAATAGAAGTGGAGGAAACACTTCCAAACTCATTTTCAAGGCCAGCATTACCCTAGTACCAAAACCAGCCAAGGACACCACAAGAAAAGAAAATTATAGGCCAGTATTCCTGATGAACATAGATGGAAAAATCCTCAACAAAATATTAGCAAACTGAATTCAATAGCACATTAAAGAGATAATACACTGTGATCAAAGGGAGTTTATTCCAGGGATGCAAGGATGGTTCAACATCTGCAAATCAGTCGGTGTGACGCACCACATGAACAGACGGAAGGATAGAAATCTCGTGATCGTTCAAATAGATGCACAAAAAGATTTGACAAAAATTAACACCCATTTATGGTTTTTTAAAAAAACTCTCAGCAAAGTGGTCATAGAGGGAATGTACCTCAGCATAATAAAGGCTGTATATCAAAAGCCTACAGCTAACATAGTAATGAAAAACTAAGCTTTTCCTGTAAGGTCAGGAAAAAGACAAGGATGCCCACGTTTGCTGTTTTTATTCA